TGACCAGGTGCTTCTGCCCCCTGCTCCTCCATCCTCCCGAAACACACCAGGACTAACTTACCCCCCCAATTTTCCCCATGTGCCCACAGCCAACCCCACAGCCTCTGATGAAAAGAGCCAACCCGGTGCCGTGGAGGTAATCAGGGAGTCCAGTAGCACCACGGGGATGGTGGTTGGTATTGTGGCTGCTGCTGCTCTCTGCATTCTTATCCTCCTCTATGCCATGTACAAGTACCGCAACCGGGACGAGGGCTCCTACCAGACAGACCAGAGCCACAATTTTGCCAACAATTCCACTGTGGAGGGCAACGGAGCAGTGGTCAAAGACAAAAGCACAGCAACGGCCTCTGTGGCCAAGGCAATCACAAAGGGCAAAAAGAACAAAGACAAAGAATACTACGTCTGAGGACGCAGAAGGAGAGCAGGCAAGATTGGACTGAGACAAGAGGATGAGAGAGAATGCTTTCGTTTCGCTCCCCTTTTTTGTCAGGTTGACCATCAGTGAAATTTCACAGGCCACAGAAAACAACTGCACAAAGCAACTGTATCTTTCTTTCAACAGGTACATTTTCTCAAAAGTCAAGGTTGCCCGGCTCCTATTAGTGATGAAATCTTCATCTACGACACAAGATCTGACTCATCCTCTGTGTCACAACATGCGCTGCATTCACCGTTTCTTTGTTAGTGTATCGTTTTTTTTATGTTTTTAAAAAAACTGGAGGAAGCATATCCACTTTGGCTTTGTATATAGCATGGATATGGTACAGTGAAGAAAGTGCTGAGAACATCCGGACAGATTTGCCTAAATGTTTTCTTTGTACTTCTTTGTAATGCTCTATCTCAAGTCTCAATGTCCCCATCATGATATATGAGGCAGAACAGGCCAGTTATTGAATTTTTATGGTAGATGAGCAGAGAGCACCCCAGTAATTCTGACTGCAGTCAAAACGAAAGCCTTTATTTGGATAAGACATCATCTCTGCGGCCTCCATGTTATGTTATGTGGTTTTAAAACTCCCCAGTCACTCTGCCTCTGTTCACGAGAGATGGTATTATGTTTCCTGGTGCAGTATCATAAATGAAGCATGATGTTTTGCTCTCTGGTGAAAAATAAATCAAACTTAAAGGGGTTATTAAATCACTCAACATATTCCTGCCAGTGAACCTTATAGTATGATGGATCAGAAGAAACATTATTTATGTGAGACATCACAGTCAGTGTGCCATGCCATTCCAAGTAGGAATAATTGTGAACAAGTCAGTCTACTCCAGTGAAGGTATTTCTCTGTAAACATTGCTTGTATGTACATATAGAGGTTAGCAGATTGAAAAAGCCTTGTGTACACAAGGGAACAGGTATGAAGAAGAATAAACGCCTGAGATGCTCGGCCCCTCCTTCAGCTTTCACAACAGCATCTAGACCGCTACAACCCAAACTTCACAGGAATTTTTCCGGAACACGGAATCACATTTGAGGAAGTTTTTTCTGATTCCTTCTTGGAAAGGGAGAACCAACCCAAAACTGTCATGGGATAATTCAAAAGCACACAGAAAATGTAAACATATCTTTGAGACATAGATATTCCTTGTAAAGCAGCCAAACGTATTGTTTTTTTCTATCAGTTACTAAAAGACTATTCTATGAGATGACTAATTGAAGGTTTGTGAATTGTATTGATATTTCTCTGATATTTCGATGTATCTTGTTGCCACTCCTCTTAACACGTTACATTTTAGATTGCCTTTTACTTCAATCCAGAGAAAAAGCACACTTTCCTCTGATAGCTGCAAATATTGTTTGTTTTTTGCATTATTTACAGTTCAGATTATGCAGAGAAAACACAAGAATGGAACAAACAAATGTTTTGTTTTGTTGCATTGTGCATTTTATATGTGCTGAATCTGTTACTCAATGGATCTGATAATATAAAGCCATTTTCTCTGTTGAGTTACGTCTACATTTACTTATTCATGCTGTGATTTCCTGTTATTTTTTTATGAAAGTGCCATTCAACATGAGCTGCTCAGCGCTCAGAAAATATTCCATTCCTCACTCATTGCTATTGTATAGTGTTCATGTGAAATGGATCTTAATATGTGTACAGAACGTGGATAAAGATGAAAATACACTTGATTATATACTTTGTACACACCTGTGTTGTGTGTTGCTTTTTGTAGATTCACAAAGAGAATGCACTTTATTTGCCTTTTATTATTGGATACAGACATTGTAGACATATACTAAAGTGTTCTATGTCAGGCAAATTCAGAGTGAACTCAGACCGACATGAATTAGATAACGTTCAGGTAACAATTATGGTATAAATCCGGTTATATTATGTGAAGACAAGTGACCCAAATTTTCAAATATTAATGTAGTGTAATGATTGTATTAATCCATCTACTGGTGATTAAGCTTTGGGATTTGTGAATCTTTTGGGATCAAAGAAACACAGTGAATTCACAATGATGTAATTTTACAAAGGTCACATTTTGCTAACAAGCTAAGTTAACACATTTAATGTGAAGAAACAGCATTTCATACAAATTGCAGGTCATGGTATGTTTTAAAAATGTGTCTTACACTTGAGTTTCATCATCATCTACTCTCTCTCTTCCCTCTCTCTTACTCTCTCTCGCTCTCTTTTGGGCATTGCATAGTGTTGGTGTGTTAGTAATGCCTGGTTGTCCATTATTTATTATAAAATGAAACGTTTAAGTGTTTTTCTGCACCTTACACTGCCACTGTTGTCTGGTTTAGGTCTCCATTAAAGCAGAACTCATTGGTTTCAGTGAGGCTAAATTGAACACATGAAGCTTAAATAAAACAAAATATTAAACCAGCTAAACTCCTGTTGAGGCCACTAGTGATTCACACCACGGTGTGATAGGCTCAGGTTAGGTCACAACCTTATGGCTGAACGTGACATTGCTTGAGTAACATGGGACTGGGCTTGGAAACTTAAGATTTTTCAACACAAAGCCTGCAATACAGACTTGTGGCATAGTTTGAAAGTGGCAGGCACCAACCAGGCGGGGAGTGTCACTATGGGACTATGGGCATTATGGGAAATGAAGGAGCTGTTGTTTTGGGAGCTTGACCTATGTTAGGGATGTCAGGATATCTCTTCTATATCTCTTTTCTTTCCCATTTCTCTCTTGTGATTTCCCCCTTTTACGGAAGTGCAATACTAAATAGATGGAGTACTTCTTTAATATGCAGAGCAAGTCTGCATACTGTTGCTATATTGAATATGAGCCACCACTGTGGCATACCTTACCAGTATACATGTTGACAGTATTTTATAACTTCACTCTATGGCAGATGAATCTGTTTTTTCACAAGTGCTTGTAGCCCCGTATATGTTCCATTATTAACATATGTATTCTTTACAGTGGTGTCAAAAACACGATGTCTAATTATCCAGAAGTATTAACATAATTCTATTAGTGCTTTCCTATAGACTGCTTTGCCTCTGGACTTGATGATTATTGCTGGTAAAAATAAATAGAATTCTCCACATCTTCAACTATCCCTCGATTAAGAACAATAATCTGCTGTATGCTTGTCAACAGCAACATGGTTTGTGTTGTTTGACTACCCCCTGCTGAGAACATAAGGAACTGTAGGATGGAGACAAAATGAACGCCCAATGTACAGGCTACAGTTGCTGTCACTGAAGCAGTCATCAATTTTTCTATGATAGCAGAAGAGGTTCATCACAAAAGACAAGAAATTAGAGAGGTTGTATCTCAATCCAGCGGGGTCACCTGACCTATTACCCCGTTTGTGCCAAGAGTGATGGAGAATAATCCTGTGGGCTCGGTGAGGTGTGGTGTCAGTACAGGTCTAGTGTCATTGAGGTCTGATCTGTGCTGACATTGGGTATCAAGGAGGGTGGCTACGGGATACGACAAGCCACTGCTGATCATTGCTGAGATGTCACAAGTCTAATTCAACAAAACAGCTATGACAAGAGAAGCCCTGATGACAACCACCATGTCATATCCACTCTGACCAACCCCTGTACCACTAACATCCAAGCAATGTTTTCTTCATACTGTAAGTACTTGCTCTATAGGTGCCCTCATATTTCAACACACAATGTATGTACTTCTAAACACTACTATTTGTAAAATATACTTTAGGTTCAAGGTTATTACACATTAAAACACACTGTTATGTCTAAGCTAAAATTGTGTGTGTACATTTTTTATGCCAGAGCCTCTAAAGGTTGCTTTCAATCTAAATAATTTCTATATTTCCTGGACATTCAGGAATACCAATGCTGTAGATTTACATACATGTTTTCTAACTAATTCATTATAACATCAATGGGTTTCATGGCTTCTCCTCAGATCTTGACGCATGACCTTTACCCCAGCCTGCAACAGACCGTCTGGCTCCCATAGAGCCCTGATTTCATCATCATGGAGTCTGTCTCGATTTACATGAAGAGACAGAAGACACTGAGATAGCCTAAATCTCATAGAAGAACTGTTCTCCAAGTACTCCAAGATGCAGTGTGCAAGTGAGGAGAACTGGTGCTGTTTTACTAGCAAAGGGTGGCCACACTAAACATTGACTTGATTTAAGTTTTTTTTCTGTTTACTGCACTTTGTATCAAGTTAGATTATCAATTAAAACTAGACATGGATTTTTTTTAAATCATTCTTACTTTACTTTTAGTGATTAAATATTTTGCACAGAACTGTAGATATGATTGATAATTTTGAAATTAAAGAGAAAAATACCCTCCCCATGACGTCAGTACATACGGCCAATCATCGCCATGGGAATCGCTCACTCGCTTAATCGCGCTCTGTGCGTGCGTGCGTGCGTGAGTGCGTGCGTGCGTGTGTGTCAACTACTTGTTAGCTAGCACTAGCTGCTCAGTCAGCTAGCTTGTTGGAACATTTTCACATAGGCACCGTTTGTGCCAAGAAACAGCTGTTGTTCATCATGAGAGAGGACCTCCGCTTCCGCTACATGTCCGGCAACCTCTGATGCCAAAGAGGATGAGGGACTGTCTGAAAACAATGATAAGTTAGCCAGCGCTAGCAGAAAGTGAAGCTCTAGTTTTTGCTCAGGCGGTTGCCTTGCTCGCTAGCATCCTGAGAAGGAAAGCTCTGAGATTTTTTTTGCAAGGACTGGATGCGGAAGGAGGATATGAGGCAAGCTGGACAGCTAATGCTAATTGTAAGCGATGCTGGCATCCAAATGTGGAAAACATTTTACTGTGAGCACAATTGTGAATTCTATCAAGCTAACCTAAGCTAACATTAGCCAGTGACAAACTAAACTAACGCTCACCTAGCAACCAGCGGTTAAGCTAACTTGTTGTTGTAGGTTGGTGTTAGTCACAGTGCTAACGACAGGGACATTACCCAGGATGAAATGCTGATATATGCGGCCTAGCATTAGCCGGTGACTAGCTTCAAGCAATCTAATGATGATTAACGTTTGTCAGCCTGTTTGCAGTGGTGTACTGCTGCTATCGATAATATTTCATATTCACCGAGGTGATTAATGCGTTAGTGGTTAAGCAGGTCGTATTTAACCGATCGGGAAGGCACAGGTATATTCGTAAGCTAGGCTAAATTGTGTGTTAGCTTGCTAATGTCAGTCAGAAAACTTAATCTAGCTGGCACAGCACTGGCCTGGACATAAAAATATGATGTTTTAAGCGCTGTCATCCTATGTGAAATCTGCAAAAACTTATAAACTATGTTGTTTAGCTTCTCTATTGCTTTGCTTTGGTTAGAAAACATCTACTGACGAACGCTACGGTCATTTTAATCACTGTAGTGCGTGCCAGTGTCAGCTTATGTCAGTCTCACCTTTCCTTATAGTGATCAGTTAAAAATATTCTACCACTCCACCTTAGTAACTGGTCAATTGATTATTACTGTGATGTAATCTGTAAGTTTTGAATGGTAAATGTTCAAGTTTAATGTTTGACTCGGCACAAACGTTATCTTGTCATCCTTTGCTAAACGTATTCAAGACCAACTGGATTGAATTAAGAGGAAACTGTATTGTTTCATTATCATTATGAGTATTTAAGGAAGTACTTAAAGTGACTAGAAAGACACTCTAAGGTGCCGATCTTCACAACTGATATGTGCATGTGGGAAGCTGACAGATTTCTGCTACAAGAGTAAAACTTATTATGTGATTTTCAGTGTAATTTCACAAATGGGTTATTGCCTAGCATTCATTTTTCCCCACTGAATGCAATGTTTGAAATATGTTTCATATAAGGAAACAAACCAGTTTTGGTCTTTCTTACAGATGAATGTTTTTTCATACATTCAGTGGGTTACCAATGTGCCAAAAAGTCACTCTCCTGATTACCCAACAAGGATTAGGCTAGAGTGTGGCAACGTCGGTGCAGGGAGGGAGCACATACTGGCACAAGAATATGCAAGGATTCTCGACCTCAACTGAAGTATACATATCCAAGACACAGAACTATTGTCCTTGATGATACAGTCTTGGTTAACCTGCCATCCCCAATGGAAGTGCCATCATAGACACAAAATACTGTGGCTCCAACTGCTGAACAGTTTTTTGAGCTACAGCCTAGAAGGAGGACGCATTTCAGCTTTTGGTTGAACCTGAAGGTGGAGATGGGTTCCCAAGCTCTTCAGATATTGCGGCAGGGTGTGTGGGCTTCACTGACAGGAGGCTGGTATGTGGACCCCCATCAGAGCACATTCTCCAACTGCTTCCACCTCTACCTTTGGATATTTCTTCTGGCCTTCCCCTTTCTGTTGTACATGGTAAGCATGTTTTCACAAGAGGTTATGATAAATGATAAATAAAAGAACCACCAAATTCAGCATGAATCCTTATAAACAAATTTTCTAAATGTTACCTTGCAGAATTGCTTTTTTTGAAATTATTTAAATGTGGTGCATATCTCATTTCTACCATCTTTATTAAGAAATCACTTAAGAGTACAGCTGACTGTAAACTTTCCTGTTGAAACGAGCAATGGGTATTTGCTTTCATTCTCTTAAGTACATAATACTGTGTTTAGTTTGATGCCTTTTTTTGGAATTTACAGTCATTATCAAATCATTTCTGGCACGCATTCCTTGAGGTGGATTTCATTATCTCATTTTTGTACTTAGTCTCAGTTGCTGTCATTGTGTTTTTCACTCCCTCTCAGGCTCTTCCTGCAAGCCTGGTGGTCGCAGGTGTCTACTCTGCTGTTGTGGCAGTCTTTTTCACAGCCATTAAGGTGGTGAACTACAGGCTTCATGCTATGTTCGACCTTGGGGAGATTATAGAGAAGAAGCAGGCCTCACTCACAGCTGAAGCCCCAAGGACAGAAGAAGGAGATGAAGGTTCAGGTGTCCACGATGGGAATCAGCACAGGTAAGAAGTTGTTTTGTGACTAATTTTGGAGAAAATGTGAAATCACAATGCTGTGAAATGCATCCGCAGTCCTTTTAATTTTCTGTTTGTGTAACTTCTTCACAGGGATAGTCATGTTGGTGTAGAGATGACTGTGTTTCGGAAGGTCAACTCAACACCCCCAGTGCGCTGTAGCTCACAGCACTCCCTGTTTGGATTGAACCAGGTGTCGGTGAGGCTTGCTGCATTTTACAGTAGCATGCAGTCCTCTTTCTTCTCCTCATCATTTCTGCTGTTCTACTTGTTAGAAAATGTTTAATGAGTTTCCCTGCCAATCTGCTGGGCTAAGGTTTTCATTAGAGCCAAATGTTGTAATGTCCCTGTTTATATATACAGTATATATTGATGTGGGTTAGCCCTTTTTTTTTTTCTTTTTTTTTTTATTGTCCTTATTCTTCAGGAGTTCTTACCCCAGCTGGAGGATTCAGGGGGCACTAAGGGTAAGTACCTGAATTCTGTGGTACCATACTGCCTTTCTGTACACTGTCCTTACACAATTATATTTGTGCATCAGGTCACTCTGAGTTAAATATGCAGTGTTGCTTTTTGTGTGACTTCTTTCCTTTTACCCCAGATATCAAAGAGCTATTGCGGGAACAGGGAAGCAACAATGTGATTGTTACATCAGCTCACCGTGAGATCCTACGCCAGAGTTCCCAGGATACTATTAGTAAGTCTGCTACTAATCAGTGACCAGAAACAAGCATCATGCAAACTGAACAGTGTCTAATCCTGCCTGTATGAAAACAGGAACCCAGTACTCTCACTCCATTGTAGGCATGACTCTTAATCCTGTCCGTTGGGATGCATGGTATTGCATGCATCCAAATCTATAATAAGATAAAAATAAGATAAAGGAATAAAAACAGCTGTGGGTGCTGAGAAGCAGAATTCCAAACCTCTGTGTTACAGTCTTACAAAGTGCTTTTCAATTGGATTTTGGCAGGAGCGCCCAGTGTCGTCCAGTCCTGCTTTGCCGCTGGTCTGGGAGGAGATTTCCCAGGTCTCATGGGAGCATCTGGATTGTCGACTGGATTTGGAGAACCTGGAGACTGCTTGTCTATCCCCCCTTCACCCTCCAGTCAAGAAGATGGAGGCGAGAAAGAACAGTTGCAGGAAGTTGAGGAGTTACCAGAACAACTGTCTCAACGGAGTCCTGAGAACAATGGGTTGGGGGCTTATTCTCCCCTTGGCCCCTCCGCTGAATCTGAGAGCCTGGGGGATACTCCCCTTAGTCCACTAATAAAGAGCAGCTTAAGTGAGGAGTTGAGTGAAAATCTCCTGGGTTTGGGCCTTGATCCCGTGGTGTTTGCACCTGGGACTGAGCACCCAGGCAGCCGTAGCGGAGTGGCGCTAGCTGCAGGTTCCACGGACAGCTGTTTCAGTGCAGGTGGAGCCACCACAGACCGTGAGACGCTGAGCACTGTTAGCAGTTACCGCAGTGAAAAAACTGATTCTACTCAGCTGGAAAGCCCTTCGTTCAGCCAGCCACGGCCTGCAGATGGACAGTTGTCTGCCTCAGCAAAAGCGCTAGGCTCTAACTTCCCTGAGCCCACAGAGGATCTGGCAGGACAGGGTGGCAGTGATACAGATAACCTATCAGACAGCGTGTTACTGCGTTCCCCTTCCAAAGAATTCTCCCTTAGCCAGGGGCTGGACAGGACACTTGTCGAAGGAGAGGATTTGCCCCCTGTACTCTCTGATATTGCACAGCCCCCTCCTCTCCAGAACTCTTCTCCTTCAAGTAGTGGCCACTCAGAGGTTTGTGATTTAGACAGAAATGTCCCAGTTCCTCCTCTACCCCCGCCTCGGCAGGCCAATTCAGTGCCCTCAGGGCTGGCCCTGGGTCTCGTGTGTTCCGAGCCTGCTTTGCCCATATCCTCTACCCCCTTCTTACTGTCTGACCAGCCTGCTCTGCAAGCCCAGCAGGTAGTGCGCCCTAAAGACTTAAAGCTGCTGCGGGCCAGCGGCAGTAGTGTGGGGCACAGGCCAGGCCGAAGGAAAGCTCCACGAAGGCGAGCCGGGGCAGGAAGCAGTAGTTTCGACTGTGGCTCTTACAGGCGTCATCACAATCACAGACAACACAGAGATTACATCCCAGTGCGCAACCGGCTGGGTGCCAAGGCATACAGTGAAAGTCTGTTTGAGGATTCCAGCGACGAGGACGATGGCAGTGACATGAGCGCTGGTTCTAGTCTGGGCTCCCAGCGACGATACAGCTCAGACGATGATGATGACGACGACGATGATGACTCGAGTTCCTCTACCTCCTGCTACTCCCCGGACCTCGCTAACACTGGCATTACATCCCCACTCCCCCCTGCTGCTCAACTGCCCACTCCAAGGGAAGGGGATTTACCTGAAACTGCTGGCCCCTCTCATGCTCGTGCTGCTCAGCGCTCTTCTAGCACAGCTAGTGCCAAGACTCATGCAAGAGTGCTAAGTATGGATGGGGCAGGTGGAGGCCAGAGCAACACGGCAGCTCTGCCTTCTACTCTGCTTACAATGCCCTCCACCTCCACCCCTGCACCTCGAACTCTCACCATCTCTAAGTCTGATCTGGAAGCCCGCACTATTCATACTGATGGCTTCCCTGGAACTCATCATCATCGGCTGGACTCTCTCGGAGGCTCTTGGACTGGCAACCAGATGGGCTGGAGGGCAGGAGAGCTGGTTGAAGAGGGAGCTGTGGGAGGAGGTGAGTTGGTGTTATAATCAGTGGATTAGAGTTTAGTGTTTTGAGAGATTCCACTCTAGTTTTTGGTGATGGTGAAGGCACAATCTTGGAATGGAGCAGTGTTTTCAGTATGTTAACAACAATAGCCGGCCTGGAGAGTCTCAGATAAGGAACCACATTGTAAGGCATCCACAGATAAAAATGTGGTTCATATTGTTGACTTGAAATAATTTATTGACCATAATAGAAAAATATTTTGAATTGCACTGCCTCTACATTTCCAACATACCCTTATAAAATGTCAGCATTATTATGAAAAAATAAAGGGTTAGATGGTGATTATGTCATAAGTTGGCAAAATTACATTGAATTAAGTTGGAAGACATACATTTGAAAAACACATACAACTTTCAAAAAGAGGTTTTTTTGTAATTTAACATAAATTAAGAAATTAAAGAAAGAGAGTAGTGAAAGTGTAAAGTTATTGGATGAGATCTGCTGCCTGACACAGACCTTGCCTCTGGACAAATTTAGTTGTTTGAATGTTTGAATATGATTTACAGTCACTATCCTTTCAAGGTAAATCTGAGTCACTAATGCGCAACTAAACCCTCTCAAATACTGACTGCAGATCAGTACTGACTACTGATATATTTGTGACTCTGCCTTGTAGTTTACAAATCATGAAATGAATGGAAAACAGATTTCAAGATGAAGAAAATATTACTCAAATAGACAAATATAATAACTTTACAAAAACTTTAAAGTGTGTGATGAAAATTTTATAGGTTTCCTGCAGTATGTAATAATTTAATTCCTGCTGGATTCAGTGAGGATTTCCATGCCTGGATAAATGCAGAGGAAACAGTTTGATTGTTAGTTAAGCTTTGTTCTTTTTGGGACATAATATGTCTCATCAATAAGTAATTCTGGGTATGGGTATATGTCTGGTTTGGATAACTACATAAATACAATACTAAGAGATGCAAATGACTGCAGATGTTACAATGGCAAATGGAAAATCCAGTAATAGGCTAATGTTAGATATTGGTGTCCATTTTTAATGCAAATGGTGCCTTGTTTTGTGTACACTGACACTGTAATGTAAACCGGTGCATTGATGTAACTGATAACCCTTCTACAGCCATGGCTCCAGAGGATGGGGGCAAACACGACTCAGTCAGCAGTGTAAAGAGGACCCAGGCCATCCGCAGGAGACACAATGCTGGGAGCAACCCTACACCGCCCCCGTCCACCATGGGATCCCCTCCAAGGTTAGTTGAAAAGAAAACCTGGGTGAAGGTTGTAGTTGATGCGTTGCCTCGACTGTGCCTTTTAATATTTTTTCAGTCTCTACCAAGTGTGCAGTAGTCAAAGCTGTCGGCATGATGAACATAAGAATTAGAATCCCTAATAAAAAGATTCTACTGTGGGGAGTTCACATATAATATTCCCAGCAACTTTGGGAGAAATTAATGATAACAGATTAATTACCTAAAATGACCACTCAGGGAACATGCCAGCCTTCAGCAGGACTCATTGAGCTCATGTTAAACAATGTTAGTCAATACATTGTTTGTTTTTTTTTTCTTTTTGTTGCTGTAGCCTACAGGACCTCCAGCGGGCTCGGACATCCTCTCATTCACGGACTCGCACACTTCCTTCAGCCTTACAGTTTGCTTCCTCGCTCCTACTGCCCCGTAGTGGCATCCACGAGGCCTCCACCTTCGACGACACATCAGAGGGAGCAGTGCACTATTTCTATGATGAGAGTGGTGAGTCATTGGCTTTAAAGGAGTAGGTCACCATTTTGGGAAATGTACTTACTTTCTTTCATCTTGAGAGAAAATTAGATTGTCATAAAGTTAATATTCTCAACAACATTTTCTTCATGTCTATCAGTTAAATATAAAATAATTTATATTGAAATATTTAACTAACTAACTCGAGGCAAGAGAACATATATATTTCCCTAAATGTCTTTTAACATGGATATGAAGCAGTCACTCTAGTTAACATGATTTACTAAATTGATTTCCACTCTAATCAACAAGTACATAACAACAAACACATATAAAAGAAAAAAGAAGCCCCGTTATATCTTTAGTAGCAAATGCGCCAGCATCTTGCAGTGCTATAACCTGTGACGTCACAGGGTTGGTTGGCTTCAGACTTGTTGCTCCGTCTGTTTTCAATTTCATTCCTATAACGCATGCTTTACTGACCGCCTGAGATACTCTGATAACAGCGGCATAGATGCATCATTCCGCCGCAGAGAAAGAGTACTAAACCATGCCAGCCAGGCAGGGAAGAGGTGGCATTTAGTAACCCTCACAACTTGTCAGGTACTAAGACATCAACTATGCCCATACCAAAAAATCAACATTCACCCACATCTGTCGGAAACGTAGCTGTGACAGTCAGGTGCATCTACGTCCCCTAAAGATTTCCATAGCGTCTCTGAAGCATAAGAGTTATCTGATGGGAGATTGGCTATATAATATAGCAGCCAGGTTATTCCCTGTTGAAACTACTGTATTTCAGTCTTCTTTCTGTTGTGTAACAGGAGTGAAGAGGTCCTACACGTTTGGACCTGCTGGAGGCGGTTATGAGGACCCAGTTCAGTAAGTTATTAAGTTTTTTTATTTCCTTTTTTCAAGAATATAAGATGTATTTGCTGTCAGAAAGCCATGACTAAAGGGTACAATTAATGCCATAAAATTTCATGCTTGCAGGGAGCGAGAGAGGCAGTCTCAGTCTTCAAGCTTCACCTCCACTGAGGTCCAAGAAGGGGCACCAGTCCTGTCCATGCTCCAGCCCAGACCTGTGGTTTTACAGGGCATGCAGGTGCGCAGGGTGCCTCTGGAAATGCCCGAGGTTAGCAGTCTTTCTTGTTTAATGTGGCAAATTATCTAAGGTAGAATGTCATATAAATAAGTCTGTGCTCTCTACCTCAAAAGGAAAGCATCAGATGTGCCTGTAGTTTCCACTTCTGAATTCAACACATATTTCTCACCTCATCTGTAGTTTGAGCTGGATCACGAGTCTCTACAAGAGTCCCAGGAAAACACTCTGATGATTGAGGAGAAAGCCAAACCCAAACAATACTATCGCTTTTGGGTGCTGCCTGGGAAGTGGCTGAGGGTTCGATATGATCGATTGGCTCTTCTGGCCTTATTGGACAGGTAAGCCAAACTGTAGAAGTAGAGAAAGGATGATAATCTGTTCTAACTTGTTATCCAAAATAAAGCAAAGCAATTTGTACTTAGTTTTCCGTGTCTGATGACTGATATACAAAGAATAATGTACATCAGTGCATGAGAAGAATTTGGGAAAAAAAACAGGCGAGGAAAGAAAGTGTATCTGTTGTGAATGTCCTCCTGATATTACAAGTAAATAAAAAGTATGAGCAAAGCCAGTTATTTTCTGTGAAACAGATGCAGACTGTTCGGAACCCAAACCAGGCACATGGTGATGCACAACCATTTGTACATTGGTTTTGACTTCAGAGAGCAGTTGAAACCACAGTGCTTCTGTCTACATACAGCTGATCACTGCTGCTATTGTGGTTATCTGTGATGAGAAACAATTGTTGGTTGGGAGCCCTTGAAGATGAGAGATAACAACAGATAATTATTCTAAGTCTACATCCTGAGCTCTGTATCTCAGTGATGATGATTTTCTCTTTCTACTCATAAATGGAAACAAAACATAATTCTTTTCTATGGTTGTAATCTCAGTCAGTTTTAACACCATCTAATAAATAAAAGATACTTTTTATATATTTTCACCTTACAAGAAGGCACTTTGAGTGACAGTGGTTTACTCCTCAGTGTTACCTTGGGGATTATATCTGCTTGAGGCTGCTCCAAGCCTAAACACTCACAGGGAAAAAGCCTAAAACAAAACATGATTATGATACTGATTACTCCTGTAAATAGAAAATTTTCTCCTACAAGATGCATTAGAGTATGATAGTGTAGTCCCTTTATTGCCATGTGTCTGCACCCCAACATTATAATGGCTTATTTTAATCAAGGTGTTTTAAAACATACATGTCCCAGTAGTTTTCAGTTCATGTTAATTGCCTTTTATGAAGTAGCATGGGCTTTATACAGAGGGCAAACATGGTTAAGTTGTTTGAATATTGATTTCTCTGAATTCTGTCGCCAGGAACCGGCGAGTGGGAGAAAATGTGTTTGCTGTGGTGCTGGCCAGTCTGGTGGCCTTCCTGGGGTTCCTACTGCTGCTCCAGGGATTTTTCAGGGACATCTGGGTCTTCCAGTTCTGCCTGGTCATTGCTAGCTGCCAGTACTCCTTACTGAAGGTACATAACCTCTATATTTCTTTATTTGCACATTGTCTTTATTTAATCAGGTAGTCACATTCTGATCAAGATCTCATTTACAAATAAGACCTGAGTACAGAAAATAAATAAATGCCAGAAATATTAAGAACAAAATTTCAGTGAATCAAAGATACATTCAGACATGTATTTATATAAGCAACAACCAGAGTGTATGTTTAAATGCATTTAAGTATGTATTCAAATATACAAGACATATACAAGATGACAAATTATACGCTCATAAGTAATACATTTTTTTTTTAAATAGCTTATGTAAAACAGTCACTTCCCAATTCAGTAAAACAAAAGTTACAAATGTAACTAAGGTTCTATGAATCCTGGATGACCGCAAGAGGCGGTGCTTTAAGCACTGGATGACCAGTACCAACAATGTCAAGAAGACTCCTGAGTACATACTGTACCTTACAGCGTAGACGCAGAGGAACGTGGCAGAAGTACGATGCCCAGAGGACGTGGGGTGGCCACATTTACCTTGTAGAAGCACATATGACCTCTAGGGGGTACTCCTCTCAGGGCTGCCCATGATGTGGAGACACTCCTGGTAGAGTGACACTTATTATTATGATTATTCACCTTTATATGCATTAACAATCACATCTACAACCCAATGGGACAGGAGCTGAATGGAAAGAGTGCAACCTCGTCTGGGGCCATCATAACAAACACAGGGCAGCCACATATACCCTCAATGTAGAGCAGCGGTCCCCAAACTTTTTTCAGTGGGGGCCACATCAACTTTCCTTTCTGAGATGGGGGGCCGAGGTTAGTCTATAACAGGAAATGATATGGGCCAGGGTGACAACCAGTATTATTGTGGAGATTACAATGATAATTTGTTGTAGCTGCCCTTCGTTTGGCTTTGGCACCACCTGTTGATTTGCAAAAAAAAGTAATAAAAAGTCTTCACATTGTTTTATTTGACAGTACCACAGATACTCCATTTATTTTATAAAAAATAACAACACAAACTGATGGTAATGCCGGGGGGGGCCGGCGGGCCGGCGGGCGGCTAGCTCTGCTTGCTGGGCACAATGGCTGTGCCGGGGGGGGGGGGGGCGCGCGGCGGCCCCAGGCCATGGGTCATCTCTCATATGCTGAGGTGCCACACCATTAAGACTAGTGTGAATGTCACAACGGAAAAGTTTGTCCAAAGTCCACAAGTTTGGTGTCTACGGGACTCGGCTCGTCACGCTGTGTAACATATGTCAGCCCCAGGCTTCTAAGTCACTCCCTTCTGAAGGGCTGCCATGGGTCATCTCTCATATGCTGAGGTGCCACACCATTTAGACTAGTGTGAATGTCACAACGGAAAAGTTTGTCCAAAGTCCACAAGTTTGGTGTCTACGGACTCGGCTCGTCACGCTGTGTAAAATATGTCAGCCCCAGCCTTCTGAGTCGCTCCCTTCGGAAGGGCCGCCATGGTTTAAATTCTGTGTAGGAAAATGCAATTTAATAAAAATTGGTTGATGTTTAGAGGGATTGTCTGGGATCGTTAAGTGGGCCACTCCAATTGCTTTGGCGGGCCGGATGTGGCCCGCGGGCCGTAGTTTGGGGACCCCTGATGTAGAGGGAGAACGACCATCATCTAGGAGGGACTGCAGAAACTCCATAACTCCAAATCCACGACTTACGCACCAGCGTGAAAAGAGTTTGCACCTGTTATTATATTGTAAACGCATGGAAGGTGCTCTGGGGCTATCAATAGTCTTTCTGACTGCCGCCATGAAAGTGTTTAGTACCGGTTCGGGTCCTCCTGACGGGAAGTCTGCAGCCTGGTTCTTCTGCCCCAGCAAATACATTGCCTGTAGCTCTAGCATGTTAATATCATTAAAAATCCTGGTTCAGAGCTAAAGCCTTTGCTGGGTCCTGGATGATGGTTATTCTGAAGATATTGTAAGATGATGGCATTGGCAGGGAGAGGCCTCGGCAGGCAGTCATAGGGCCCCTCAGCCTGCCAGGAAGGGGCACAGCTCTATGGAGACATCTTCCACAGGGAGCGACTCAGGCAAGGGCAGAGCAGGTGTCTCCACATCCTCTGTCTGAACACCAGAACGCAGGGTCAGGAGAACACACTTCATCTGGGCCAGCTCCGCTGATAGCTGCTCCACCTGAGAAGAGAGCTTACCTTTTTCAGTTTTAGCCCTTTTCCAGGAGGGGCAGCCGTGGCTGCCTCAACCCGTTTATGCCTGCGACAGATAGGTTGAGCTGGAAGCAACTGTTCTGCGGAGGGGATGCTCCTCACCGAGCAACTGCTCCACCTCCGCCAGCCTGGTGGTCCATAATGCCTGGGGCATAAAGCTGCAATTCATGCAAGGGTGCTTGGAGAGGCCCTCCCTTAGGTGCTCGAGGCCAAGACAAGAGGGGCAACAATCATGACATCATCTGGCCATACAAGCACCACAGTAAGAAGCAAGAAGATGAAAAGGAACTGATTCCCTGATGACACTGCGAGATATACCCTCTCTCGGGTCATCTGGGGTCACCAGAGACATTGTTGATATTAAATACTCAACCTGCGCATAGGTGAGACGGAGGATCTAATGCTTAAAACACAGCCTCTGGCGGTCAGAAAGGATGAAATAGGAACTTCAAACCACATTTTTGAATTGGCCTATCAGTATCAGCATGTCAATTAATAATGTTAATCTTGCCTGATAGAGAGGAAGGGCCAGCCCTCCTTCTGGTACAAGACACAATGATGGGTGCCATATGGATCATTAGTGATAAATCGGAGAGCTGAGTGATAGGCAGCATCCAGATGTTTAAGGTTGGAAATGGGAGCATGTCTATAAATAACATCTCCATAATCCACTACAGAGAGAAAGATTGCCTCCACAATCCTTTTCCTACTACACAGTGGGAGACAGGACCTGCTCCTAAACAGAGAGCCAACCTTCTTCCTTAATTTGTCCCTCAAGTTGTCTATGTGAGTTTAGGTTTAGGTCCCCCTAGTTCTGAGGATGTAAGTGGAAGCAAGTTATTAGTGAGTGTCTACAGGAGCAGAGGGAGCGCATTCAATTCCAACGAAAAAGAGGGAGATGGTTTGGCTCAGTTCTAATTTCAGTGCCAGTAATTCATCTGTTTTGGAGTAGAAATACTAATACACGTTTCAATCACACTTTTCTGCACAACCAAATCACAAAACTTCCACACTCACACTGTACAGTTTGATTGACCAGTCATGACAAGGGCGCTCACTCTGAGCTAAACAAAGAACACCCAATCGATTTTGGTTTTGAGCAATGACAATAACAATTATGTTTTATTTGAACAAGATGTCTGCATCCTGCAAAACCTTGATAAAAAAGAGAGAGACAGTGCTACATTGTGCAATTCTACTTTGAATGGAAAGCAAGAAGGAAAAAAAGCAAAATAGACTCACAGATGGCTGTGAAGATGTCTGAAGTCAATGTTGTCAGTCTATTTTGCTGTGAAGTTCCATTTTATTTGTATGACAGCACAGCCTCTGAAGACTACAGCAGCCACAAGATGTAAATCACTGTTCCAGTAATATTAAGACCAGCTTTTTTGTTTTATAATAGATCATTTAACAGCAGCCATGTGGGAAATCTTTGTGCAGACTTGCTCAAACTGCAAGAGAGCTGACCAAAATTTCGGACATGCCAGATATTCATCCGATCATTCAACAGCTGATTGTTGATTGTTCTGGCAGTTAATCAGGTCCTGTGACACCCCCGTCAATGTGAACATGAAATTAAAACCGATCAGGTGGAAATTCTGCTAAATTCTAAAATTAGCTTGGGGTGATTGATTTGGGTTAAAAAATCCGGCTTAATCAAGACAGTGTCTGCCTAGCTTTAAAGAGTTTAACATATCTTCTCTGTTGTTTATAATGTATAATACAACTATCAAATTATCTTGTGTTTTGGATGTCTTAAGGCATGCCTCCTGTCAATGTTGCTTCTCATAATTTTTTGTTTTCATGCAAAATGTATGTGAAACCTGTGAAGCTTAAAGTCCCTCCCTCTTTGTTTTAGAGTGTACAACCAGATGCAGCTTCTCCCATGCATGTGAGTACTGGTTTCATCTTTTATATGCTAAAATATTCTCAAAACTTAGTCCAAAACAAGGCATTTCTCATGTGACTTTTTTGACTGCGTCTTTTTGTCTGTTATTTGAAAGGGCCACAACTGGATCATTGTGTACAGTCGGCCGGTCTACTTCTGCTTGTGCTGTGTGATGATCTGGATCTTTGACCTATCTGGGCGCTCTGGAAGCCTGCAACCCTTCTCCCTCTATGGTGTCACCTTCTTCTCTGCACACTTCCTGCTTTGTGTCAGGGATATGCTCATTGGTTAGTTTTTATACATGGCTCCTTACATCAGCATTGTACCAGGTGTTCAGGTCACCACTCACACTAAGCACCTGTCAACATATTTTTATATTGGAGTGGTAATATAGTTAGAGAATAGCTATAAATCACTGCATTATGCATTGAATCGATTAATGGTTTTAAACTTGGAGAGTTTTAGCAGATAGAAAATTCTAATGTTTCACAAAATTTAGAAATGTTCATTTGTTTTGGTTGTGGGTGTATGTCCACCATTCAATTCTTTCCTCACATTTTTTAAAAATATTTTTTTCTCTTTTGTCCAACAGTGTTTGCCTTGTGTTTCCCAGTCATTTTCCTGTTTGGGTTGCTACCTCAGGTCAATACGTTTGTGATGTGTCTGCTGGAGCAGATTGACATGCACATTTTTGGTGGAACTGGTAAGAACATGTCAATGCAAACAGTCTGGTAGTTTAGAAACTGCACATCATTGAGGACTTGTGTTTAGGTTCTCCCTGATTTTCTCTCCGTGTCTCTTTCCTCAGCCACTACCAGCCCCCTCTCATCTCTGTTCAGCCTTATACGCAGCGTGTTGGTGGCTGCTCTGCTGTACGGATTTTGCCTCGGTGCTATCAACGTAAGTGGAACAGAGACACTGGACGTTAAAGAAGGGGTGCTTTGGTGTTTCTTTTTGTGAGCTTCTGATCAGAGTCAGAATTGATATGGACTGCCCTCAATTTGATATTGTTTTGTTTTGCTGCTTTCATCAGGCACCGTGGGGGGATGCCCATGTGCCAGTACTGTTCTCTGTGTTCTGTGGCCTCCTCCTGGCCTTATCCTACCACCTCAGCCGCCAAAGCAGTGATCCTACCATCCTGTGGTTAGTATAGTGACTGAGATTGTCAATCGTGTTCTTAGAAGTTCTTGAAGATGAATGCTCTCTCTGTGTGTGTGTGTGTGTGTGTGTGTGTGTGCGTGTGTGCGTGTGCGTGCGTGCGCATTTCTCCTCTCGTGTCTGCTGTCTACGTAGGCTGTGCAACATGTTGCGTTTTACTCAAGCTTTACTCATTTAACTATGGCTTCAAGTCTGTTTTCTTCCGTTTTACATGCATAACTAAAGAGACTGTTTTGAATTCAGAGCACCGACGAAACACAAGTGGCCTATACACAGAAGTGTGCCTTAATGCATCCAGTGTATTGACATTGATGGAAGACTGATGCTGCTTCTATGCTACTGATATACTGCTTTCATTATGCTGCCTGTGATGTCAAACCTTAACTTTTTGCTTTAGTTCTCATGGTTCTTTTTGTGCGGGTTTTTTTGGGGGGGGGTTTTTTGCCACTTACATCAGGTCACTTGTCCGGTCTAAATTATTCCCTGAGCTGGAGAACCGAACACCAGAAGAACCCCCTGTGGAGATCAAGGACCCTCTTCCTGAGAAGCTGCGTAACTCTGTGGTAAAGATCACCCTTCACTTGCCTGTGCAGACCGACAATTTCACTTTGATTTCATAGTGTCATTAATTTTAAAGTCATACTCTTGCACCTTCTCACTTTCTCTTTGTAGAAAGAGATTCTTCATTCAGACCTTGTCATGTGTCCCCTCATGGCTGTGATTACCTTTGCCATCAGTGCCAGCACAGTTTTCATCGCTCTACAAGTTAGTTGGAACAGAGTTTTTGATCCTATTATTACACCGCATTGTTCACAGGGTGTCAGTGACAAATGACCATAGACCTTTCATGCTAAATTTCCTCTTTTTTTCTTTCAATTCACAGCCTGCTCTTAGCTTTGTCCTGTACATCCTGGCCGGAGTTGTAGGCTTCATTACACACTATCTCCTGCCACAGCTCCGCAAACAGCTGCCATGGTTCTGCCTGGCTCACCCCGTGCTCCGCTCCAGAGAGTACAGTCAGTTTGAGGTCCGAGGTGAGTGTCTGATTGCTCTTTTATCTTCACTCACATGCACAGAAACTTGCACATGTAAGTAAGAAGAAAACTTCCATGCAGCTTTATCCCCGCTGGAAAAAGCTGCATAGAGTAAGTGAAACTACTGTAGTTGAACTAGTGCTCACTAGTTAAACCTCAAACATATCTTGGGGAGCTGTACAGAGTGCAACAGCACCAAACCGTGTAATTATTTTTTAACAATTAAATAGCTGCATATTTGGAGATATCCCTGATACTGGGTACCACTGAGACCAAGAATCAATAAATATTACTGAAGTAGCTGAATAAAAACTGAAACAGTTACAGTACAACTTTATTTATTTTATCTTAAGGCTGTTTTGGCAGTATCAAATAACTTCACACTGCGTACATGATGGTGCAGCCTGCGCCCTCCTGTATCTCCCTTCCAGGCATCACATATCATCCTGAGCAGATCCATTTCCAGTATTTGATAAGAGTTAGGGATGTCAGAAATAGTACACCATACCACCCATTGTATAAACATCTTTTCTACTTTTTTTCAGTTTAAATAATTTTCTGCCAGATTTATTTCGCAGCGGTGAAAAGCTTTAAGGGGAAAGCCAGAGTTTGGGCTGTGGATTTTCTCAACAAGTGTGTAAGATTGTTTTTCTTTCTGTTTGCCCCAGATGCTGCTCAGTTGATGTGGTTTGAGAAGCTGTATGCGTGGCTTCAGTGTGTGGAGAAGTATTTCATCTACCCTGCTGTGGTGCTTAACTCCCTAACGACAGAAGCTCGAACTGTGGGCCAGAACCACAAAGAGCTGGACATCCAGTAAGCCTTTCCTCATTCTGTCTCCAAACTATTTCACATCCATACATTATGCTGTTCTCCATCTCTGCTCCCTGGGGATATGTATTGTTAGCTGTGTGTGTTGGAAATGTAGAACGTAAAATCTATAGACATGCTGAACCAACCCCCAGGTGTATTGCTTTCTGCAGGGTGTGCTCAGTAGCACAAGATACAGAAAATATATTTCCTCACTCATTTCCCTTTTTTTTTTTTTTCTCCTCTTCAATCCGTAATCCAGCCAGTCTGTACAGTAGTCTATGTAAAGGTGAATACATTTTTCAGTTAAACTGTAGCACAAGCAGGTCACGTCTGGGTTTGGAGATCTCATGTCATTCCTTAATGTATGGATTTAGCCGTGTATGTCAATATGCGACACTGATTCTCTCTCTGTCTTTCTCGATGCCTCCAGCAGCCGAGCTCTCTTCATCTCAGTAGCAGGCATGAAACTGCTGCGTTCGTCCTTCTGTGCCCCGTCACAGCAGTACGTCACACTGTGCTTCACCACACTCTTCTTCCACTTTGACTACCCACACTTCTCGGAAACCTTCCTTATCGACTACTACTTCATGTCCATTCTCTTCAGCAAGGTTAGAACACACGCAATATCAGCTTTGAATTTTGGTCACGAATAATATTAATTAATTTCACTTCATTCTACTTCAGAAGCCGTTTGTTATCCACAGTGGACATGTGTATGTTAATCTCTGTTGTATCTCTGTTGTTGTATGAAGCTGGCGACATAGTTTCTCTGTGATATTTTGATTTGTCCTTTGAATTCTCAGATGTGGGACCTGTTGTACAAGCTTCGCTTTGTGCTGACTTACATCGCCCCCTGGCAGATCACCTGGGGATCAGCCTTCCACGCCTTTGCTCAACCCTTTGCTGTGCCCCGTATCCGTTTGTTTAATGTTGTGACAGTAATGATACATAAGTTTCCACTTTAAAGTATAATACAATCTAATACAGCACCAGCGCAAAGTATAGCTTCAAAATCTGCCACAGTTTCAACATACACTAAACATTATACCCTACTGTTTGTTGTGTGGTTATTGTGTTAAATTGCATTATTGTACATGATGTATCAGTTATTTTGTTCTTCTCCTATGCATGGTATGTTCTTTTCCAGTCACCTGGACTAGACTTAGATATTATGAAAGACATTTCACCCCTTGCAGTTTCGTTGATGACATGTCCTTAACTCATGTTACTTCAGACTCTGCTGTGCTTTTTGTCCAGGCTATCTTCTCTGCCATATTTTCCACCCCTCTCAATCCTGTCCTAGGCAGTGCTGTGTTTGTCACCTCATACACCAGACCTGTAAAATTCTGGGAGCGTGACTACAAGTATGTTTTTGATCAAAAATTTGTGACACTACAGTTCATACAATCCAAATATTAAATATTTCATTGAGTTCTAATGCTGGTTTGACATGTTTGCAGCACCAAGCGGGTCGATCATTCTAACACCAGACTTGCCACTCAGTTAGACCGTAACCCAGGTAATGCCATAATGTTCTTTCACCATCTAATCATCTCTATTTGACTCATTTTTTGTTGTTCTGTAGTTATGGTGACGGTCCCTTCTTTTCTTAAAGGTGCTGATGACAACAATCTGAATTCAATTTTCTACGAGCACCTGACGCGCTCTCTGCAGCACAGCCTGTGTGGAGACCTGCTGCTCGGCCGCTGGGGCAACTACAGCACAGGCGACTGCTTCATCCTCGCGTCGGACTACCTCAATGCTCTGGTGCACATCATCGAGATCGGCAATGGCCTTGTCACGTTCCAACTGAGGGGTCTAGAGTTCAGAGGTTAGCAACAGGGGATGATGGCGCTGACAGTTTTGTATTTATCTGCTGGTTTGAACTTGTCAATTGAGTATTTTAGTTTGTTGTCACTTGACAGTAAAAGATCAGTTCATAATGTAAAATTATCAAATTTCCAGTCCAGTAAAATGATAATCAAAATTATTTCAATTCATGGTAATTGTAAATTTTACTTTAAGTACCAATCTGTGATAAATTAAGCAACTATATACAGGGAAGTGTTTGGGCAGCTGATCCTCATCTGTTTCACATCTGTCCAGGTACCTACTGTCAGCAGAGGGAGGTAGAGGCCATCACAGAGGGGGTGGAGGAGGACGAGGGATGCTGCTGTTGTGAACCTGGTCACCTGCCCCACATGTTGTCATTTAATGCTGCCTTTGGACAGCGCTGGCTGGCCTGGGAGGTGGCCGCTACCAAATACGTACTAGAGGGCTACAGCATCAGCGACAACAACGCAGCCTCCATGTTGCAAGTATTCGACCTTCGGAAGATCCTCATCACATACTATGTCAAGGTAAGCTGTTGATCAAAGGAGTTCTTTTTTGCTCTCTGTTCTTAAATCATGCTTTCTGCTAACACTTGACATGATGACATGTGTCTTTTTTTTTTTTTTAGTTGCTGAAAACTCAGGAATATTTTAGCTGACTTTTCTGTATGTCTACAGAAATAATTTGGATCATGTGTTTGTTCCCTGGAACAGAGCATCATCTACTATGTGAGTCGATCTTCTAAGCTGGAAGAATGGCTGACTAATGAGACGATTCAGGAGGCTCTGCGGCCTTGTCTCGGGCTTAACTACGTAGACAGTGACCCCACCTTCAACCTGAACATCGATGAGGACTATGACCACAGGGCCTCCGGCATTACCCCCTCCTCATTCTGCATGATTTACCTGGACTGGATTCAGTATTGCAACAGCAGGCGTCAAACGGTTAGACACTCTCCAACACTTGGATCCCACTAGTTGTTGTCTTTTGTTCCTCTACCAGCTATCCACATTCTTGTGCGTGGCGGAGCTGTAATCAAATGTAGTCTACCCTCATTTATCCAAACATAAAAGTAAAACAATCTGTAAATCAAGAAATTAGTATCAACGTTGTGAAACTGAAGACAAATAAGTGGAAATCTTGAAAAGATGGGATTCTCTCTACATGAAACTTTTCACCCCTGCAATTAACTGATAGGACAGCTAGTATCATCCATTTTCATGCTTAGCCTTTGGGGGGGTGGGGCGGTTTGTCTTCATTATGCATAAAATAAAATACATTCTAGAAAAAAAAAAATAGGCAAGGAAAAAAACATTAAATGTACAATGTTTTATAATTTATCTTAACTTCTCTATTGTGTTGTAGCCGGTTACTTGTGAAAGAGATTCTCCACTTGTCAACCTCTGTTTTGGGCTGTGTATCCTGGGAAGAAGAGCTCTGGGCACAGCCTCCCACAGCATGTCTGCAAGGTGAGACAACCTATATTACCACGTCTCATACTATGGCTAATATCATCCATCGCTGCCTGAATATGTGCCAGCAATATGCAAGAGTTATAGTTGTTTTTCTGTTTGACAGCCTGGAGCCGTTTCTCTATGGCCTCCATGCACTCTTCAAGGGAGACTTTCGCATCACGTCTCCTAGGGATGAATGGGTGTTTGCAGATATGGACCTGCTGAATCGAGTCGTGGCACCTGGAGTGCGGATGTCCCTCAAACTGCATCAGGTAGCATTTCTCATTCTAGCATTTCAGACTAAAAAAAAAAGGTTTAAAGGTTAAAATAAATGACTGTTTTTGTCACTGAACCGAGACCAACCCTGTAATCTGTGTTTCCCTCCAGGACCACTTTACATCTCCAGATGAGTATGAGGATCCGATGGTTCTGTATGATGCCATCACTGCCAACGAGGAGAAGATGTTAATATCACACGAGGGCGACCCCGTGTGGCGCAGCGCTATTCTAGCAAACATGCCTTCCCTGCTGGCACTGCGCCACATCATGGATGACGGCAGCGATGAGTACAAGATCATCATGCTTAACAAGAGGTTCCTCAGCTTCAGAGTCATCAAGGTGACAGCTCTTTCTGTGTATTACTTGGTGTCTTGTTATGATGGCTTGTTCTAACCATGGCTTGTTTAATTGGTTATTGTTGCATTAGTTTATTAGTTATTTAAACCTATTTTTGTATGAAAATCAGCTGCTTTAAGCTCAGGGTGCATTTCACACCCAGAAAATGGTTATGCTATTTATATTCAGCCTTTCCGCCTCTCCATTCCTCTCCTGACCTGTCTTTGTGCTGCCCCCTACAGGTGAACAGAGAGTGTGTGCGAGGGCTGTGGGCGGGGCAACAGCAGGAGCTGGTTTTCCTGCGTAATCGGAACCCAGAGCGTGGCAGCATTCAAAACGCCAAACAGGCCCTGAGGAATATGATTAACTCCTCATGTGACCAGCCCATTGGCTACCCCATCTACGTTTCCCCCCTCACCACCTCATATGCTGGGGGGCACAGCCAGCTCCGGTCTGTGTGGGGAGGACCCGTCAGCCCACACAACATTTACACCTGGCTCATAAGTAGCTGGGACAGGTACATGGTCTTCACTGCATGTGATGTGCATACACACAAATCATTCAGGGACAGTGATGCTACTGTGAACATCATAATTCTAATATACATCCCTCTGCAGGTTACAGAAAGGTTGTGGTGCTGGCTGTAACAGTGGTGGAAACATTGAAGACTCGGACTGTGGAGGCGGCTCCACCTCGATCTCCACCAACCCAGCCATTCACACCACCCAGAGTACACCAGCCTCCAGCCTTCCCCAGCCGCATATCACCACTGTCCAGCCCTCTATGGGTAAGACCAAAGAGCAACCACTGCTTTCCTTAGCCTGCAGGACTGCCCACTCAAAAACTACAGCTGCAGAGTTTTTTTATTTACAACTTATAATAAAGTACAAACATATTTACAAAATGGCTTTTATTGCATTTCAGGTACAGACAATCCTGTAGGTCCAACCCAGAGCTGGCCTCACCACCCCCAACCTCTTCCATTAGCTCTGCTCAGTCAGTCAGAGGGCAGGATGGAGGCAGGCCTGCTCACATCCCTGCAGCGTACGTCCTCCATTCAGGGGCTTCTGGGCCAGCAGCTGTCTAGCTCCCAGCTCTCCTTCAGCAGCACTGTGGCTCAGCCTCCTCTACCAGGCCCAGAGCGCTTCTGCCCGGCGAGCCTCTTGGAGAACTCCGGGCACAGAGCGGGCCAGCGGGCTGGCCTCAGCCAGGGCAGTGGACTACACTATGAGTGCCACTTTGGCAAATGGAGTTTTTCAGGCAGGAAGGGCTTTAACGGACCAGCTGCAGTGGAGGGGGAAGGAGGAACAGTACAGACCATACGCACACAGGTGAGGAGGCTGTCAATATATTTACTGTTGATTCATGTGAAACTCTACTCAGGGTCACGTCCAGCCCGGAGAATAAAATGGTCAATTAAAAAAAAAAAAAAAAAGCTTAGAGAGTTCAAGGTCTGGCCACATTCTCACCGCTACACAGCTGGCCAATCACAGTGTGAAGTGCAAGTTACAGAAATGTAACTGATTGTATACAGCTCCCCCCTAATCCAACACTGGAAAGGTGTGGAGGGAGGGGGTTTCCGAAGCTATTCAACCATCTGACAAGCACTTCTGATGAAATATACTGGCTCCTTAAGATCAATATCCATCTATCCACCTTTCCCCTGAGTTCCTTTGCATAAGAGAAAATCCAACATATATGGTCTGGCTAGTGTCGGGCAATTTATTCAGAAACCATTCTGTTTTTGTCTCTTCTCTAGCTCTACCTTCACAGTATTGGTAATAGCAATGTCAACTAATTAACCAACAGAAAATTAATCAGTAACCATTTCATTATCTATTAATTATTGTGAGTCATGATTTAAAAGAATAATGCTGCAGAATAATATCTGCTTCCAGGCTCTGAAATGTGAATATAATGAAAATGAAAATGATCATTAGTTCTTGCTGACTCCTATGATGGTCATGTGTCATTAACAGAATTTTGAATCCTACAATCTAGGACTGGACCGTAACCAGCATTATAAATCTTTTACCTACTGATTTCATGTTGCATGCTTTATTTACAGCAGTGGACTTGCTCATAACTAAAACTGAGCACTGAGTGAATAGTTTCAACATTCTTGCGCTTGAGGAACACAAACAGGAAGTGGCCCAGAATTATGCAAAGCTTTGTCAAATTGTAAGCTAAACCACTGAGTGGGTAGACAAAGCCTCGGTGTGTGTGTGTGTGTGTGTGTGTGTGTGTGTGTGTGTGTGTGTGTAAAACACACAGAGTTGTGGTCAAAGGTCAAGGTCACTGTGACCTCACAAAATTCTTTTTAGCCCTAACTCAAGACTTCACGCACCAGTTATGACAAAGTTTTACACAAATGGATGATATTTTGTGACTCTTGATGAACAGGGTTGTAACCTGAAAGAGTCTGAGTGGCAGAGGTAAACAACCGCGAGGTGGTAATTCTAGTCTTCACAGACAACTTGACAGTGGTGTTTTTTAAATGGCAGTAATGCAATGTTTTTTAATCTCTTATCTTTCACAGTCTACTCCCCCTGCACCCCTACAAGAGGTCAGTCCAACACAAGATCCTCTGGGAGCCACTCAAACGATGGATCCAACCCTGCTAACTGCAGGGGACCCCCCCACCCCCCGAGAGGAATCCACAGAGCTGCCTTTACTTGAGCACCTGCGCTGAGTCTGCACTGGGAGACCCCGAGTGACATTGTCTGCAGTGAAAGCACACCGCGGTTGAATCTGAACCGGGCTTGGCCCATCCAGACCGGACTCATTCCAGCCTTCAGCACTCATTCCATCAACCCTAGTTTAAGTGACTCGGTGCAACCACGATTTGTAAATCCTCTAATGGCCCACTGCAATACTGGATTGATTTGGTTATATACACATCACCTCTCTCCTTCTCAGCCAAAGGAGTTAAACATCTGAATGCTGAGCTGATGCATGTCAGATCATGAAATGATTTCAGCCAAAGTCAGCTTTCATCAAGACTCACGAGGCCTGATGATATACTCGTACATTTTTTTCTCCAAACAAAGGCACTCAGTGTCTCTATGGACAACCTTTTGGTTGTGACAGTAGTGACAGGCCAGAAAGGCCAGTGCAATTATAAGGGATATTTTGCTTGAGGATTGTTTATTTTTCTATACTGGAGAATAGAGGATCACCTCTGACTTTCTCTCACTTAACATCTGCACCAGCAGGTTTTTTTTTTTTTCTTGCATCACCAATCAAAAAAAAGATCAGTTTGTTGCTGTACGTGCAGGTGAAGGATATGTGGAAACCATGATAAGCCTTGTTTTGTTTTTCCCCCATCCTCACCGGACCTACAGTCATGTGTCAAATAATATTTATCAGTACATATTGAACAATTTCTGGAGCCTCCACATCTATTCCCCTGCACATTACACATATTCAACAAGGAAAAAAAACACATCCCACCAAAATGTCATCTTTGTCCTCTGGCCTGTTTCCTACAGAGGTGCCTGACAACATCAACACTCAACAGTTCTGTCTTGGAGCAAGTTTCAGGGAAAAAAAAAAAAACTCCCATCCCAGCCAACATGTGGTGCTTTTACCGCTAGTTTACAGTCTATTTAGGCCTGGACACGAGTCCTGAATCTGACTAGCAACACAGAGATGTGGGATGGCTTCGGACAGAGCTGGTGTCCATGGATCAGGATCAAGCAGAGGGTGATTCCAATCTGTGAAAATTGTGTTGATCACAAACCGGGAGTGTTAGAAACTTCAAGCCTTTTTTTTGTTTTGGTGAGTGGAATGTCCTTTTTTGTTTTACTTTACTTGAAGAATCACCAGTTCCTCAGTGTTTAAGGGGCACTGAGTTTGTTTTCTTTGGATGACCGATCAATAACGCCCTCTCTGATCAGATCCAGTCAGCTTATGACTTTTCTCAATAGCAGGGACCCAGGCTGCTTTGTGTGGGGAGCTCTGTTTTCTTTGCCTGCAGTACGGCCCCTCCCATTGCTATACTACTGCTTCTGCATCTCCTGCTACTACTAATATAACCCACTACTACTGCAGTTAAACAGTTAAATCCAGCGTTTTAGTTGGAAATAAACAAAGCTGAATAAATACTGAAAGCAAAGGTGGAATATTTATTTGATTAATATTGTCTTACAGATATCTTTAACGGGGTTTGTCTATATGGTGTGCTGATATATCGAATTGGAAATCTGCCTTCTGTCAACTGTACCCCCACCCCTCCCTCAATTTGTTTGCTGTCATCACATTTGTATCATCTCACCAATAGCTGTCTTTTTTTATATATGTAATAGAACTGGAAATATTCCTGAGAAGTCACTTTAGGTTGGTTTCTTTCCCACTCGTGCACTCTTTGTTCCACCACTGTGAAAAGCAACTGAAAACACTGATTGAGGGTTGAAGTACATCACACAAGACGAAACAGAAGCTGGCAGTCCAACCAAATTCAGCCCTAAATGTTTCCCCAGTTCCAGGGGCGTAGTCCCCTTGTGCCCAGTTGTCTGCAGTGGTTTAAAGATTCTGAAATAACCTTGTGCCATACCATTAATCGCCGTATCAGAAGACTGCTAGTTTTCTCACCAAATAATCTCTCAGAAACGTTGTTCCCCTGTAGGAAACTTGAAAGGAGGCCAGCGTTCTCAGGGTCTATAACGGGAAAGAAATTGACTTATTCTGTGGGAAGACTTTTTGTCCAAAGGGAGAAAACTGAAAGGGGGATAAAAAAAATGTCACCGTTATGAAGCACGTCGAGTACTGGGTCAGACTAACGTTACAAAAGATGCCCCCTTTACAGCGTTTTATTCTCTCTTGGTTAAAGTATGTTCTGCACACTGCATGCTGTTAAAGCCACATATTTGTTGAATCTTTCTGTCCTTGCAGCGCTGTTTTTTCCCACTTTCAGCTCTTTACATCTGAACAAGGGACATATACAGTACAAAGCTTTTTCCCCCTTTTTAAAAATCTTTTTGGCAGCCCTGAGATTTCTGTCAGTCTCGGCTGTGAAGACGCTGCGGCAGGTGAAAAGTGCGTCACTATCCCTCTCAAAACACGTTTGTAACTTCCTTGACTCAGGAAAAACAGACTCTCTGATCAGTGTTGTTTTCTGTTTTTCTTTTCTTATTCTTGTATCCAAAGCAACAGGGAGTTATATTGTTTGGTTTTCTTTGCTTGGTTTTTTTTTTTGGTTTTATTACTTTGCTGGGAGTGAGGAAAGCACAAGTTAACGGACAGACCTGGGTGTCAATAAAAAAGGGATTTCTTAATCTCTGAAATTATGTACAGCATGTTTCGTATACAAATTTATATTTAAAATATAAATCTATTTTATTATTATTGGATTTTGGGTTCTTTTACATTGAAGACACTATGTTGAGGTTTATGGGAGGGACACTGTTTACCCATCAGAGGGCAGAGCTGAGTGGAGAGAGGCACTCTTCACATTGAAATGTGCAGTTTGGGAAGAATCAGTTAATACTTCTTTTGCACAAAATGTATCATACACCATCCCACTTTGTTATCATTTTATTATTTTAGCTATTTTTTTGTGGGGGGGGGGGGTCTTTTATTTAAGAACTTTAAGTCAATGTTAAATGTTCTGTACAGTTTTTTATGTGATTTTTCTTTTTTTTTTCTTTTTTTTCCCTCCTATTTAAATTAAAGGTTTTTGTGTCTTTGTTTGCAAATCAACGGTTTTGAGTGCATTCATTTTCCTTTTTACCTTATCCATTTGGTTTGGTATTGTTTGGTCCAGGGTGTCTTAAGCCTTAATTTAACACTTAAATAGTATTATCAAAGGGAAGGGCATAAAGCAACAGTGGTATATACTAAGTCAAATTATACAGTAGTATGCTGTTGATCAGTTAAATAAAGCAAGTAAAAAGCCGGAACATGTAAGTGAACTTGGTATCTAACAAGCCATTAGCCTTCTTAAGGCATAAAAATGTCATAGTTTACTAAGGCATGAACAAGTCAAAGTAGTGTAAGGCATAAAAATGTCATACTATAGTATGGTATAAAAAGTCATAGTATAGTAAGTAATAAAAATGTCATAGTATTGTAAGGCATAAAAAGTCATTGTATAGTAAAGCATAAAAAGTCATAATATAGTAAGGCATAAACAGTCATAGTATATGGTAAGGCGTACAGATGTCATAGTATAGTAAGCCATAGGAAAGTCTTTGTAGAGTAAGGCATAAAAACATCATTATACAGTAAGGCATAAAGAGTCATACTATAGTAAGTCATCAAAAAAGTCATTATATAGTAAGGCATAAAAAAGTCACTACAGTAAGACATACAGAAGTCATTGTAGTAAGGCATAGAAAAGTCTAAGTAGAGTAAGGCATAAACTCCACAGAGAAAGGCCCCAGGCCTGGGAGGTCATAGTATAGTAAGGAAAAAAAACATCATAGTATAGTACGACATAGAAGAAATCATAGTATAGTAAGGCATGAACAAGTCATTGTATAGTAAGGCATAAAAAAGTCACTGTATAATAAGGCATAAAATGTCAGTATAGTAAGTCATAAAAAAATCATAGTATAATAAGTCCTAAAAAAATGCCATAGTATACTAAGGCATAAAAATGTCATAGTATAGTAAGGCATTAGAGCCACTAATAGATAAAATCAATAAAATTAGTGACGAACAGCTAATCAGTGAGTTGAAGCTAATCCTTTCACATCATGTCAGATGATAAGTAAATGAATGTTACAAATGGCTTGTGGTCCTGAAATTATTTTGAATATGGTACTGTAGGATAATGATATTTATTGTAAAACCTTGTCAGACATTAATATACTGACATTTTGACTCCTTATGATACTATGATGTACTGTATAAATGCCTTACTATACTATGCCTGTTTTATGCCTTACTATACAATGAAGTTTTTATTCCTTACTATATATATTATGGCATTTTCATGCCTTACTTTATTATGAAATTTTGATGCCTTAGTATACTATGACTTTTTTATGCTTTACTATAATATTACATTTTATGCTTTTCTATACGATGACTTATTATGCCTTAATATACTATGATGGTTTTATGCCTTAATATACAATGACTTCTTATGCCTTACTATGACTTTTTTTTTTCCTTACTATACAATAACTTTTTATGCCTTACTATACAATTAAGTTTTTTATTCCTTACTATACTATGACATTTTGACTCCTTTCTATACAATGACTTTTTTTTTTTGCCTTATTATACTAGTTTTTATTCCTTACTATACTATGACATTTTTTATGCCCTTCAACACTATGACTTTTTAAGCCTTGCTACAGTATAACTTTTTATGCCTTACTATACAGAGTTTTTCATGGTTTACTATACTAAAACTTTTTTATGGCTTACTATACAATGACTTTTTATGCCTTACTATACGACTTTTTATGAATTACTATATTATAGCTTTTTTATGCCTTACAAGACAATGAGTTTTTTATGCCTTACCATACGATGACTTTTTTAGGCCTAAGTATACTATGACTTTTTTTCTTCCTTACTATACTATGACTTTTTATGCCATAGTATACATTGACTTTTTTATGCCTTACTTTAGTATGACGTTTTTATGACTTACTAAACAATGACTTTTTATGCCCTACTATACTATGTTTTTTTTTGCCTTACTATACCTTAACATTTTTTTGACTTTTTATGAATTACTATACTATGACTTATGACATATATATGATATATATGTCCCTATATCAACAGTTATGTTACCATATGTGTCACCTAAAGGAGGCTATATTATTATAACATATATCCATTCTCTGGATATAAGAAGATAATAACATATATGAAATACTCATAGTAAAATGCAACTTTATTAAAACAACATGGTTATTAAAATTTTATATTTTTGTATATGATTTTCTTAATAGGTGGGATGGATGTATATTTATGTAACTATACTAAAATACATTTTTCTATTAGCTAGACATATATGTCAGAATATGATATTGTTCAGATTTCTAACAGGTTTCATATGTAATTTTTACATATACAGGCTATACTTTAAATACATATATGCTTTCATTTCATATGTACATATATTTCATATATGGAAATTTGACACATGTACATATATTACATTACATTACATTATTACACCTTATGGGCATTCCTGAATGTAAATATAGATCTTTTATGTTAATAAACCGTTTGGCTGGCAGCATTAAAAAGCCAATCTGTTTGTTGCGGGGTTGATACATCCCTACCAATGTTGAGACCAGACCTACGCCCTTGGTGTGAACATTCATATCCAGATTTATTTCAATGCAACCACAGTGAACCACACTGTCTCGAGTTTGTTTGGTCATGTGATCAGCAGGTCGGTAGATTTAGTTAAGACAGTTTACTTTGATTTCTGGCCAAAAGAGAAAAAGATCAATTGGACACATGCTGAAGTATTTTCAGTTTTAAGCCTTGAGGAATTTAAAGTTGAGGATAAAGTATTAGGGTTTGATTTAAAGGCAGGATGCTATAAGTAAAGATGCAGGCTTATCTTTCAGTGCATTTCCACATTGATGATTAAAGCCAGGGGATACTGAATGCCCTATTTTTATAATGTAGGTTTAACGGCCTCCTAACTTTGAGGGAATTGGGAAAAATATTCAAAGTTTGTCATATGCAACTACAACTACAACTGTAAATCCTTCTTGTAAATAAAACGCCACACCTATCAGAACTAGGGTATTTATTCAGAATTTGTGGTGCTGAACAGTGACGTATACAGGGAGCATTGGCCAGGCTGTAAAAATCCATTATCTACATGTTGAGAAATCAAACAAACGAGCGCTTCATCAGAGACGGAGTGTATCGGATCTCGTTGTAACACTCCTCCTCCTCTTCTTTCCCCTCCCCCCACCTGCCTTCCTGCCCTGTGCGATGCAGCCACAGCACGAGCACCAGCAACGCCAGCAACACCAGGCTCATAGACAAGGTCAGCAGCACGCCCTGCAGGATGCCTGAGGAACTGTCTGGGGCTGCACAAATAAATAGAAAATTATTCAGGTGGCTGCAATCATTTAGGTGAGAGTAGGACGAGAGGCTTGATGGGTAAGCACAGAGGCACTTACTGCTGTAAATGGACAGATTGACGTAGCAGTTCTCTGTTCCCAGGAGGTTAGTGGCAGAGCAGCGATACAGGCCGGATGTCTGAGAGGACACATTGACAATTTGGACAGAGCCAGACAGATCCCCTGAGAGAGAGAGAGAGAGAGAGAGAGAGAGAGAGAGAGAGAGAGAGAGAGAGAGGACAGTCACATTAATGACACTGAACTAATGAGAAAAGAAAGAGCTTGAAGGAAAAGAAGAGAAGTATGCAAAAGCATTATGGGAAGTGTAAGATCCTGCATTTTTTTTCCTTATTGCTGAACTGGGACTATTTCTTAAAACATCTTTCCTTTGAGTCTCCTAAGTTTATGAAAGTTAAATACTATATTTGCTGGAGTTGCACCTTAAAATACTTGTTTACTTACAAATACTACAGGGAAGGGGGAAATCTCCAAGACGCAAGGGTCAACACACAGACAATGACTCCTGGCCTTGTACAAGTAAGTTGTTCCAACATCTACCCCCCAACTCCTCATGCATGCATACACAGAATATTTATGTTTTTACAAACTATGTTTCTGTTCATTACAGAGGTTTGTCAGTCCCACAGTGGTTCTTCTGCCTCTACTAAAATCCTTTATTTCACTGGAAAATCCCCAACACCTTCCATGATCAATATACCGAAGAGGTGTGTGTGTGTGTGTGTGTGTGTGTGTGTGTGTGTGTAGGGCACTGACCCTCCATGTTGATGGGAAGTGAGATTTCCTCTGGATTCAGTTTATCCCAGTGGATCTCTGGAGTGGGGATGCCCTCTGTCACTGAGCAGGACAGCGTGACACTTCCTCCCATATCAACATCTCCATCCCACTGGCACACAGGCAGCGAAGGGGGCGCTATGAAAATAATCACTAGATAAATTTCTAAAGGGATGTAATGCAGTGGAACTCTTTACAGATTGATGCAGGCAATTCAGTGTCTATTCATGAGACAGTTTGGTTCTGAGATTCTTTCAGGGATATTTCTTGTTGGATGTTCCACAGTGAGACTAACCTGCACATCTGACCTGAAGTGATATTTCAATAGAGCTCCTGCTTTGTCTCTTTGTATTAAAATAATACTTGTGTACTAGCTCCCAAAATAAAAACTGCTAGAGGTTTCGGAGTAAGTCTGTGACATCTGAAAGTTGACTGGCAAGATGGACCATGAGATTTTTTTTTTTTTCATTCATATGATGTAATGTTAGTAATAAGTTGTAAGGAAAGTTTTATCTACTACTGCTCAGGTCTGGTCTGAAGATATTATTTGCCCTTTGGAACATATGTATTCTTTATCTGTGCTTTCTTAAAAGCCTCTGGGTGAGTACTTGACTGGATAGTTGCATAATTATTTCATCAAAGCTCCAATATTAGCCAGCTATCACCATTATCATTTAAAAAGCAATACTACTTATGACCATTAATATTCTAAAATTTTAGCTAGTGTTTTCTCTGGGAGTGTATCAATTCATGTAATGTAAAACAGAACAATACTGACAAATTGTTAACACTAAGACTAAGCCAGGCTAGCAGCTC